TCAACCACCACCTTCACCCACCCTGCCAAAGCCCCTCTGGCTTCCTTTATCAGCCAGGATGGGCAGGAGTCTAGGATGCATGTGGTCGGCCTCGCTTCTCCAAGAATCTTGTCCACATCCTCGAGCTGCACAGATTGAAACAAATCCATCAAAATTGGACAAGCAGTTGCTCGTGTTACATCCTCAGAGATTGCCGTTAATATGGGGTCAAAGTCAGAACGGATCAAAGCAACTTTGTCTGCGAAGAACTGAGCAAATGCTTCACAGCGGGCTGCCGAGTTGTCAGGGATCCCCTCTTGGCAGATGGGATTTAACAGCCCTCTGACCACTCGGAACAGCTCTGCCAGACGGTTCTTCGCAGATGCAATATTGGTTGCAAAGAAAGATTTTCTTGCAGCTTCTATTGCTACAGCATATGCCTTTAAATAGGCATCCAGCCATGCTTGATTTGACTCGCTAGGCTCTTTCTGTCACACACTCTCTAGTCTCCTCTTCATTCGCTTCATTGCTGCCAGCTCCTCAGTAAACCAAGGAGATGGTTTAGCTCGGCTACTCGAGAGGGGACGTTCTGGAGCGATCGAGTCTATTGCCCTAGCCATTTCACTATTCCAGTGGTGACAAGAGCATCGACAGGATCACCAACCGAGGAGGCAGGAATATCCCCAAGAGCCATCAGGAATCCATCTAGATCCATAAGTCTCCTGGGGCGGACCATCTTAATGTGTCCCTCACCCCTGCAGAGGGTAAAGGGTGCAGTAAGTCTAAACTTGATCAGGAAGTGGTCAGTCCATGGCAACTGGGAGATGGTTAACTCCTCTACACCGCCACCTTCTTCCCACCCCTGACAGAAAACCAGATCCAATGTGTCTCCAGTACAGTGAGTGGGGCCTGATATAAGTGGGACAGCCCCATGGTCGCCATGGAAGACATGAAGTCCTGAGCCACTCCTGATAGGGTGGACTCCACATGGACATTGAAGTCCTCCAGCTCTATGAGCCAACAAGACTCCAACTCCAGGCTCGAGACCACCCCAGCTAGCTCAGGTAGGGAGACTGAAGTGGACGGTACACTAACAAAATCCCTATTCTGTCCCGGCCTCCAATCCTCTGGTGGACACATTCGAACATGGAAGACTGCAGGATGGAACACCTGGCCAAGGAGATAGAATCCCTATAGACTACTGCAACCCCCCCTCCCCGACCTCCAGATCTCGGCTGGTGCTGCACTGAGAATTCTGGCAGGCAAAGCTGGGAGAGATTCACACACACACACACACACACCAGCCTCATCTAGCCAGGTCTCAGTTATACACGCCAGGTTTGCTTGCTCATCAAGAATTAAATCTTGGATGGTGATGGTTTTTCCATTTACAATAGCACCACCCTTAAGCTGGAGGCTGTGCCAACCTGGGTACTCAGATTTACCATGTCAGGAGATCGTTTTGGGAAGTCCAATGTTCTGTTGTGGATTTTGGGTCAAATTAGTTGTTTAAATCTCCCTTTTCTGTATCTCCCTTTCCCCATCACTACTTCAATACAGGCCCCTCCCCCGTCAAAGTGCCCCCCCCCAGAAAGGCCCCTCCTCCCCTCCTGTCCCAAGACCTGGCTGATGATGCATTATTATTATTTTAGCCTAGTTCCCAACTTACCCTCCCCCCACCCTCACAACCTCCAAGCGCTTCCAGATTTCTCCCTTCACTTAGAGCAGGGGTTCTCAAACTAAGGCCCGGGGGCTGGATACGGCCCTCCAAGGTCATTTACCTGGCCCTCACTCAGGGTCAACCTAACTCTGAAATGACTTGAAAGCCACAACAACAATCCTATCTCATCAGCCAAAAGCAGGCCCACACTTCCCACTGAAATGCTAATAAGTTTATATTTGTTTAAATTGTTCTTCATTTTAATTATTGTATTGTTTTAAAGTGTTTTTGCACTACGAATAAGATATGTGCAGTGTGCATAGGAATTCATACATGTTTTTTTTTCCAAATTATAATCCAGTCCTCCAACAGTTTGAGGGACTGTGACCTGGCCCTCTGTTTAAAAAGTTTGAGTACCCCTAACTTAGAGTATAAAAGTGCGATTGCAGAATCAACAAGGGAGGAAGATGTATAAATCAATTCATTAACGAGATATTGCAATACTGGAAAATAAGTGCTGGAGGTAAAGTGCAAGTACAATAAAAGGTAAGAAAACAATCCCATTTGTAGGTTCTTGTGGGTTTTTTCGGGCTATAGAGCCATGTTCTAGAGGCATTTCTCCTGACGTTTCGCCTGCATCTATGGCAAGCATCCTCAGAGGTTGAGAAGGTCACAAATCCCATTTGTGTTTGTATTCAAATCACAGTGAAGCCGAATCCAAATATGCCCTATCTATATCTATGTAAATCTACATCTATATGTGTGTTTGTGGCAGCTTTCTGATTGGCTCCCACTTCCACGGGCCACTACAAACCCCACGAATGACAGACCTGGACCAAACTTGGCACACATAACCCCCTGACCCGCCTCATGTCCTGGTGCAGTTTGGGGGAGGACAGACCACGGATGATAGGATTTGCAGTACATCCACCTGATTCACCTCACACAGACCACTTTGACGCCCATGAATGGTGGACCTGGACCAAACTTGCCATATAGAACCCCCATGACCCACTTTACATCCTGGTGCAGTTTGGGGAAGGATGGGCCATGAAGGATAGGATTTGGAGTACCTTCATTCACTTTGAGAGATCACTACGACACCCATAAATGACCAAACTTGGCACACAGACCCGAGGTGGCCCACTTTACATCCTGGTGCAGCATAGGAGAGGATGGCCCGTGGATGATGGGATTTGCAGTATCTCCACTCGATTTGCCTTCCTCAGACCACTGTGATGCCCACAAATGACTAACTCAACCTACTGGAAGGGGTTTGAGGTGACTGACACACCATAGTGGGATTGTAGTTTACCCTGCTGCCAGAGAGCACACTGAAATCCACTGATGATGTATCCAGAGCAAGCAAACGTGCCCAACATGACAAACTTTAACCACTGATGGAATTTCAAGGGGTTAATCTAGCATGATGTGAGTTCCAGTTCACCCACAACCTTTATGCATTTTGTACAATCAAAAAATTGACGTTTTCAACCCAACCCAAGCAAGTCTATAATAAATCAGAAACATAACCTTCTGGATTTTGATGTGTTTATTTTGATGGACTCAAATCCAGGTCCAAGTCATGCTTGATTGTTAATACATTCTGAAATATGTTATTATTGTTATTATTATTTATACCCCGCATTTTCTCTCCAAAAAAGAGACTCAAAGTGGCTTCCAGAAAAAAATGATACAATGCAATTTAAATCTCCAAAAACAGGCAAATATTCAAATAGAATTAACTATTAATGGTATTAAACAGTTAAAACCAATTAGAAAAGTGACACATGGAAGTGACATGCGATACTGTACTTTCTCATAGGATGAATTGTGGATGAACGTTCCCTCTCTACTGAAACTCTATGAGAGTCTGTTGCCTTTGTAAAATCGAATTTCTTTGAACAAGGAGGCCCGGCTTTGACCATTCCGGCAAGCGTTGAAATCCCGTTTCCTATCTTTAAGAGGGGGAAACGTCACTGGTTTTATGGCTCTTGACTGTGAGAAACGTGACCAGTGATGCGTCCAATGTTATAAGTATGACCTGCACCAAGCGAAAGGGAACAAATGGAAGGATTAAGTGCTGCTTTCAGAGGAATGCAAAACGTGCGTCCGGGAAGCGGCCAGCGGGAATTTCCCATTGGAAATCTTGTGTTTCCACATGGTGTGCACCGTTAGTCCCTATGGTTGGATTGAAATTCTAGTAAAGCAGTGTGCAAATGGGTAGAGCGTTCAGCTCAACAGTTGTGAGCCCGATCCAATAAGGTTATTGTATATAACAGTAGTAGTAGTAGTAGTAGTAGTAGTAGAATAATAATAATAATAGTAATAATAATAATAATAATAATAATTTTTATTTATTACCCACTTCTCCTAACTTGAGGCGGGGTACAACAGAGTACATTATTACGATTATTATGATTATATACCACTCTTGGTCTACACTGCAGTTTAGATGCCCAAATCCATGGATGCTCAAGTCTTATTATATACAATTATTTTATATATATTCTATTATTCTATACTAACAGTAGTTAATATAATTATTATATATTATATTATATTATATTATATATGATATCATTATTCTAGAAAATAGAATAGATAATTATTATATTATAATCATTTATATAAAAAATTATTATTATTGAATAATAGAATATATATTATATTTATATTATTATTATATTTTGTTATTATTATGGATTAATAGCATATAATTAAAATTATCATATAACATTTTATATTTATTATTTATTATTGAATAATAGAATATATACAATTATAATAATCATATTATACTAATTCTATTTTATATATTTTATTATTATAATAGAAAATATATAATAATTATTATTATATTATAATTATGATATGATTATATATTTTATTATTATTTTTATTATCATCTAAACCACAGCAGAGACCAAGAGTGGGATATAATAAGAATAAGAATATAAAATAAACCGCACCGGAGACCAAGAGTGGGATATAATAATAACAATTAGTAATAATAATAATAATAATAATAATAATAATAAATAGAAGCAGAGATCAAGAAAATAATAGATGTTCTGCTTTTTGCCTCCAGGAAACGAGAGAAGGAAGCCGTGAGCCAGAAAGCATGAAAGGAAAAAAGCAAAGGGTGGGTGACATGTCCACATTTCCCCCCATGACTAATTTAGGCAAAGGGAAGCCAGCCAAAGGCGGCTATTTATAACCAGGGAAGGGCTATGCGCACGGGGTCCTTTGGACAGGTGGCCCTTGCCCTTGGTGCTCTAGGGAGATCTAGTGCTTTTCCACCCGGCTCTTTGGGGCGGGGAGAAAGGGGCCCCAGGCTGCATATAAGGCAAGCCAGACCGCCTTTTTCCTGAATGAAAGACTAGCCGAGCCAAAGCAGCAGGCTGCACTCTTGGGCTGCATTTCCCATTGAAAGCCTTTCGTTTTGCATTCCAGCTTTAGACTAAAGAAAGATGAAGTTCATCCTTGGAATTGGAGGGTGAGTGAGTGCATTACTCTCCATGCTTTAATAGAACTATTTCATAGAATTGGCTTGGACTATGAGCGCGGGATTTGGTGCTATGTTTTTAACAATTATTTAATGGTATTGATATGCTATATTTTTCTGATTTTCATGCTTAATGTGTTGTGTATTTGTATGCTTCTTTGTTGCAATGTGGCATAGAATGATTGCCAAACTGGAAGCCACTCTAAATCCCCTTTGGGATGGAGATAGAGAAGTAAAAAATGTAGTAAATATATAAGTAAATGCTATTTATTTATTTACTATTATTTTATTGCAAAATGATTGCGATAACTTTTATTGCAAAATTACAAAATGTAAAAATAATGTAAAAATAAAATAAGAAATGTAGTAAATAAAAAAATAATGTTATTTATTTATTTAGTATTGTTTTATTGCAGAAGTATGGCAACAAATTTTGTTCCAAAATTACCAAATGTAAAAAATGTGGAAATAAAATGTAAAAGGTAGTAAATAAATAAATTAATACATTATTTATTTACTATTATTTTATTGCCAAATTATGAAATATAAAAATGTAAAAATAAAATAAAAATGAAGCAAAAATAAATAAATATTATTTAGTTAGTTAGTTATTTTATTGCAAAATGATGGTAATAAATGTTATTGCAAAATTACCAAATATAAAAAAAATGTAAAAATAAAATAAAAATGTAAATAAATAAAAAATATTATTTATTTATTTACTATTATTTTGTTGCAAAATTACCAAACGATCAATGATGCAACTCAATGAACAGTTGATACTGGCCATTACATAACATAGTATATTATTATAATTATGATATTGCAGTATAGTGGTATAGCACAATGTAGTACTATAGTATACTAATATTGTGCTATGCTAATCATATAATATATTGTATATACATATAATATTGATAATGAGCCCTCGGTAGCGCAATGGGTTAAACCCTTGTGCTGGCAGGACTGAAGACCAACAGGTTGGAGGTTTGAATACGGGGAGAGCGCGGATGAGCACCCTCTGTCAGCACCAGCTCCCCATGCAGGGACATGAGAGAAGCCTCCCACAAGGATGGTAAAATATCAAAAAAACATCTGGGCAATGTCCTTGCAGACGGCCAATTCTCTCACACCTGAAGCAACTTGCAGTTTCTCAAATCGCTCCTGACATGAGAAAAAAAAATATATTGATAATAATATTACAATTAAATACAATATCATACTAATAATAATACAAGATAATATATGATAATATTGTAATATAGTAATACTACTATATTAAATATAATTACTACTGATAATATATAATAATATATAATGAAATACTGTTTTATTATTGTATCTTTTAAGTTGTCATGTTTTGGATTGTGAGTCACTTTGAGTCTCCGTATGGAGAGATAAAGCAGGATATCAATCAATCAAAATAATTGCTGTTATTATTATTATTATTATTATTTTATTATTACAATACCTGACACAATTTTTGTTCCTGGGTGATGAATGTCGTTTCCTAATTGGTTTCCATCATTTAAATAACCTTGAGAAAATGTTTATTAAACTGCCAAAACCTTGTTTATCATAATTAATTTTGTATTTATTATTCTTTCTTTTGTTTTTAGGATCCTTTACATTGTCTCAATTCCCCTTTTTTAGATTTCTTCTGCTCTATTTTGTATTCTTTTCCCGCTCTATTTACCTCCTCGCCTAGCGCGCGCGCGCCAAGACACGTCACCCCGCCGTTCAGCCAATCATAGCCGCGTCCGCCTGGCGGGCGATTTAAAAATATCCCCCGCTCTTTCTTTTTTTTAAAGATTTTCCTATTATGGGAAGCCTGCTCAGTTAATGTCTCCCCCCTCCCCCGTGCTAGCCAATCAGAGGCTAACTCATTTGGTTATTCCACGCCCCTGTTCAAACACTTATCCTATGGCAAGTCCAGCAGGGAGGGAAACGAGCAAGCATTTATTATCCCATACTTGGTATTTATTATCATTTACTTTGCTTTTGTTATCCTTTTTTTTTTTGCATTTATTATACTTTACCATGTGTTTGGCCTTTTTGTATTTATTATCCTTTGTTTTTATTTTATTTATTTGCATTTTTGTATTTATTATAATTAATTTTGCATTTATTATCTCTCTTTTTGCATTTATTATCTTTTACTTTGTATTGATTGTCCCTCTTTTGCATTTTTTTATGCTTTAATCTTGTATTTATTATCTTGGAATTAGTTCTATGAGTTGCAAGCACCTCCCCATTATATTTAATATTATTATATTTATTTATATTATTATCTATTTATTATTTATATTATTATTTTATTTATTTATACCTCATTTTATCTATCCCAAAGGACACTCAAAGCGGCTATGTATATTATTATTATTATTATTATTATATACATTATTTATTTACAGTATTTATATTCCGCCCTTCTCACCCCGAAGGGGACTCAGCAGATCACAGAACACATATACAGCAAACATTCAGTGCCCTTATACACTGACAAGACAGACAACTGTACATAGAGGCTTTTCCTATATATACCTCTATGTACAGTTGTCTGTCTTGCTTGGGAAAATGGAAGGAAAAAGAGGGGCCGATCAAGGGCAAGATGGATGGATGGTATCCTTGAAGTGACTGGCTTGACTCTGAAGGAGCTGGGGGTGGTGACGGCCGACAGGGAGCTCTGGCGTGGGCTGGTCCATGAGATCACGAAGAGTGATCTTATGGGTGCCTTAAATACCTCCCCACTGTAAAGCAGTCCCTATTTATCTACTCACATTTTGATTTCAAACTGTTAGGTAGGCAGAAGCTGGGCTAAAGGTCAGGAGCTCACCCCAACCCGGGCTTTGAACTGTCAACCTTTTGATTGGCAAGATTTACTGCAGCTGGCAGTTAACCTGCTGTGCTAAAGCCCGCCCTTATATTTATATTTATTATTTTTATTATATTAAATGTTTATTATTTTTGTTGTTATTTATATCTTGCATTAGCCCTCCAGGAGACGCAAAGCGGCTATGTATCTATTATATTTATTTATATCCCGCTTTGACTCTCCCGAAGGAGACTCAAAGTGGCTGCATATCCATCATTGGTATTACAATGTGTGTGTATAATATTAATATAATTATTATATTGATATTATCAATAATTATTAATTATTAATATATTATATTAATATTATATATTTTTATTAATACATATAGATTATTAATTCTTATTATATTTCTTTATACCCCGCTTTATCTCTCCTGCAGGAGACTCAAAGCAACTTAACATAAAAAGCATCAGCATACCATACCAATATGCAAACATCTAAACAGGATTAAATGTAAACAGTATTTAAAAACATATCCCAGTGAAAAACCATTAAAACAGATTCCAAGTTGAAAACCATTAGAATATCTGCATCCATCTATTGGAGATGGGAGCCCAGCCTAGACCTTGGGTACATCAATCATTTTCTAAGCCATAGTTTTAGTCATTTTGAATAAAGTTTGTATTCGGAAGGTGCCACTCTCTCAGCCACCCGTATCTTTTTAACCATTTACTTTCATTTTTCAATTATTATTATTTAGGGTGACCAATGGGGGCAAAACCACCTTGACCAATAGGCTGATCAAAGCCCTTCCAAACTGTTGCGTCGTCCACCAGGACGACTTCTTCAAGGTACGTCTCTTTGTTCTCTTTTATTGAATGCAAAAAGCATGTGCATATTAATTATTAGATATATTATTATTATTATTTTATATATTAATATAAAGGCCTCTCTTGGGAAAGTTTTGTTGGTTGTTTGATGCTGGGTTTTTATTTTGTCTTGCTTAGAGAAAAAATAATGACACAATGAATAAAATAGGATGCAATAAATAAATACATTTATTTCTACAATTTATCTCCTGCTTCTCATCGTACTTATATAGTTTATATATCCTGACTTTTGTTTTATTTAGCCATTTATACCCTACTCTTTCTCCCTGGGTGGGACCTATTATTATTATTATTATTATTATTATTATTATTATTATTATTATTACATTATTGTTATAACCTGACTTTCTCCCAGGGTGAGATCTATTATTATTATTATTATTATTATTATTATTATTATTATTATTATATTGCTTTATTATATATGCATATTATTATATTATGGTTTTTATACCCTGCCTTCCTCCTGGGGTTGGACCTATTATTATTATATTATGATTTTATACCCTGCCTTTCTCCTGGGGTGGAACTGATTATTATTATTATTTGATATATTATTATTATTCTGCTATTATATATGCATATTATTATTATTATTATTATTAATTTTCAAGCTGTGTTTCCCACATTGCAATAAACCATGGTTTTTTTCGATTGTGGTTTGTAGCTTAAGCCACCATTGGCCTTTTCTGTTGGCTTCTGCCCTTACTATCAATTGTTAAATCCCTGTTTTCAATGGGAAATGGCATTGAATGCAACCCTTTTTCTTGAAAGAAGCCCCCCAAATTAATACTCTGACTAGAGTTAGCATTAGATTATTCCAATGTTGGTGTTTTATTCCTCCATCGAAATGGAGACTTGTTTGAACATTCCAAGTCAGGGAATTGTGGGTTGATGATGTTATCTCGTTGCTTCCATACTCGCCATATGAGTATGGGGATTCTTTAGATGCACACAATTTGATAAAAGCCTCCATCGTGTGTGTGTGTGTGTTGTGATGGCAGAAAAATATCGTAGGCAAACTGCTTCCCCCTCTGCGCTTGCAGCAATGTTTTATTGATCACTATATTTCAGCCACAAGATCAAATACAAGTCGGGGAAGACGGCTTTAAGCAATGGGATGGTAAGAGCGGTGTTCGCTGTAGGATGCAGTAATGTATATTTTCCTAAGTATTCCTTTTCATTTTAATTTATTATCACTCTTGTTTTTTTTCTTTATTATATAATAACGTTAACATTTCTGTTAATTCCATAAAACACACATTTTTATCATTTAATACAACTTCACATCCAATTTGTTTTTCACATATATATCTATATATTTTTCTCAATTGACCTTTTTCTTGTATGTATGTATATATATTTCCCTTCTCTTTCTTCTCACCAGTGCTGGATTCCTTGGATATGGAGGCGATGGTGAGCACCGTGCGAGCCTGGGCCGAGAACCCGGTGAAATTTGCACGGTCGCATGGGGTGAGTGTGTCACACAGCTCCCAGCCACTCCGCTCCGAGGACGACATCCACATCCTGGTTGTCGAGGGATTTCTGCTTTACAACTTCAGGTAGATACACCTTTTTGTTGTTATTATTTTGGTTTGCTGAAATAGTTATTGTCCAAGAACTACAGAATACACCCTGAGATGCTTTGCCTTACAGTAGAGATAGATGACGGGCAAATTAGCCTTTTTATCTATTAGCAAATACATATATATATCTCACCAGCCTATTTTCTGCCTTCCCCATGTCTGAGAAGGATCGGAGCAAACCTGTTTTCTTCATTCTCCATGTTTGAGAAGAAGGCCTACTTTTGCTCTTCTCCAGCTCTGGAAAGCTTACTTTCTCCCTTCTTCAGCTCAGAAGAAGGCCTTCTTTCTCTGGCTCTGAGCACACCTACTTTCTCCCTTCACCATGTCTGAGTAGAAGGCCTACTTTCTCCTTTCTCCAGCTCTTAGAAGGTATTCTTGCTCCAGCTCTGAGCAGGTCTACTTTCTTCCTTCTCAATGTCTGAGAAGAAGGCCTACTTTCTCTCTTCTCCAGCTCTAAGCAGGCCTACTTTCTCCCTTCTGTGTCTGAAAACGTTTTCTTTCTCCAGCTCTGAGCAGACCTACTTTCTCCCTTCTTTATGTTTGAGAAGAAGGCCTACTTTCTTCCTTCCCCAGCTCTGAAAAGTTCTTCTTTCTCCAGCTCTGAGAAGAAGGTCTAATTTCTCCAGATCTGAGCAAACCTGTTTTCTCCCTTCTCCAGATCTGAGAAGAAGGCCATTTTCTCCTTTCTCCAGCTCTGAGAGGGCCTACCTTACAATGTCTCAATAGCAACACAGCTTTCTTTGTGGCTCTTCCCTTCCTTCCTTCCTTCCTTCCTCCCTCCCTCCCTCCCTCCCTCCCTCCCTCCCTCCCTCCCTCCTTCCTTCCTTCCTTCCTTCCTTCCTTCCTTCCTTCCCGCATGCACATGTCACCTTCCTTCTTTCCCAGTGACATCACAGAGGGCCAATTCCCCTAGCAATAGCAAACCCAGTGACTTTACTGAGGGCCACTTCACCTAGTAACAGCCTTTTGTTACATACATACTTTGAATTTTATATACAATTCGTATCTAAAAGATATCCTTTTTCTCACCTCTAACCTTGCCGTCCCTTTCCTCCAGGCCACTGGTGGACTTGTTCAACAAGCGCTACTACATCGCCGTCCCTTACGATGAATGCAAACGGAGGAGGAGGTAAGCATTGGATGATTCTCAGTGCGACGTCATCTCGAGACACAAATGCGTTGTATATCAATGTGCAGCACTGCGTTATTGCGAATAATTGTTATTTACACAGCACATCTTATCATGGGAGGAAGGAGTAAACCACACACAACACCCCTGGTAGGTAAGCACGTGAATTCTTCCAGCTGTGCCATGGGATGAACTGTCTCAAAGGCAAGCAGTTAGGCCCGATCCCCAAAACAATGCAGAATCTTGGTCACAGTTTATCAGAGAGTTTATAGCACAGCCTCTGACCTTGAATAGTAGCTCATCAGCTTGAATAAGCACACTCGAGCTCTGGCTTTCATCCAGGCTCCTTTGGAGGTTTATTCTTCAGTCGTTGCTACATACAACTATTTACAGGTCTGCTATCAGTATACAGAGATACTCACAACCATAGTGAGACCCACAGGAGGGTGATGGATTACAGATGGAGAGAGAACATGGCAAGCTATCTAAGATGACAGAGATCAAGCATAAGGCAAAGTGGAAATAATAATAATAATAATAACAACAATAATTTTATTTCTTACCCACCTCTCCACAGCTCAAGGCAGGTTATAACATTGTTAAAACGCACAATCAAAACACATATGTAAAATACACATATTAAAACATATTTACATACAATACATATTAAAATACACAAAATTGCACATACAAGCCACTCCTATTCTCTATTTTTCTTCACTCTTACAATGGACTGTGCTGTGAACACATGTGCACGAGAACTGTATTTTTTTACACAGTGGAAGTCCATATAATGCATTCTGATCTAATACACAATTTTCTATCTGACATGTCTTTCCCCCAAAAGAATGGCAACTTTAAAAGAAGCTAGTGGCAAATAATCAGGACTAGAATGGCTAGAATTGCAAAGCTTTTGCACAATAGATTCATTCTCTCATCTTAGTATCCCGTCTCTTATTTTTCCTCCAGTACACGCAAATATACAGTTCCTGATCCTCCAGGCCTTTTTGACGGCCACGTTTGGCCTATGTACCTTAAACACAGGAAGGAGATGGAGGCCAGTGAGGTTGACGTTGGTAAGGATCAAGTGGATTCTCAAAGGAAACGACACCATTCTAGAGGGTGATGGAAATGGGTTGGGTGTCCATATTGGTTCTTGTGGGCCGCATTCTGAGGCTGAGAGAATGTGACTTCTAAGGTCACCCAATGGGCTTAGGACCTCTGTTGGTTATACTCATAACTTTAATTGGGGTTTTTTTGTCCTTTGTTTCAGTGTATCTGGACGGCTTGAAGTCCCGAGACGACCTCTATAAGCAAGTCTTCGAAGAGATCCAGAATACGCTCTTAAATACTTCATAGGTGAATACAGACGTAAAAAATAAGCAGGGTTTATTATTTCCACTACACACACTATCTTGGGTACCCAGCATTGTCCAAGTTATTTGAAAAAGTCAATTTTTATTTGCACAAAATGCATACGGTTGTGGTTGAACTAGAACTCACCTCATGCCAGGTTAACCCCAAAAAACTCCATCAGTACATAAAGTTTGTTATGTTGGCCAAGTTTACTCTAGATGCATCATTGCTGGCGTTCAGTGTGCTCTCTGGATGCAGGGTAAGCGACAACTCCCACTATGATGAATTAGACGCCTCAAACCTCTCCAGTAGGTTGAGTTACCCATGGAGGTTCTGTGTGCCAAGTTTGGTCCAGGTCCATCATTGGTGAACATCACTGTTTCTCTGGTTGTGGGTGAAATACAACTTCCAGAAAGGAAGGTCAGTTGCCCCCAAACCCCTCCAGTACGCAAATTTCGTCATATCAGGTATGTGTGCCAAGTTTGGTCCAGATACATTGGTGTTTGGGTTCACAGTGCTGTCTAAATGTAGGTGAACTACAACTCCCTCAAATCAAGGTGAACTTTCCCCAAATACCTCCAGAATGTTTTATTGGTCGTGGGGGTTCTGTCTGCCAAGTTTGGTCCAGGTACATCTTTGGTGGAGTTCAGAGCGCAGGTGACCTATACATCCCAGTCCCTACAACTCCTATAAATCATGGTGAATTCTCCCTAAACCTCTAGTATGTTCAGTTGCTGATCAATTCCTCTGTTGGCTGTGTGCCATAGAAAAAAGTAGGAAAGGGTTCAGGGAGAGGCAGTGGGTGGGGTCATGCAAATTCCACACCAAAGGAGAGAGTCAGAAACACTGGGATGTCTGTGGTGGAGGAAACATCAAATCTAGTATGAGATTGTCCCCATATGAAAGCCTTCACTTGGGTGGTGGGCAGTATGGTGTTTGTGGAGGACACTGACAGGGCTCTTGGACATGTTCATAGCGCTCACGATAACCTGCAGTCATTGGAGGGAGGGCCACTGGTGTCTCCTGAGTGGTGGGAGCTATAGCTGTTTGTGGAGGCAGGAACTTGTCCGTGTAACTGGACACTCCAGCCCCATACACACACACATATTTTCACTTATGTGTATAGATTTGGTGAATATTAATTTCCTCCTTTTTCTTTTTCAGGACCGACGGAAAGCTCCGCATACTAACCTTGATGTATATATTACTTCGAACGTCAACGGGGTTTTGAATATTCACGACGCCTGTGTGTCCCTGTTCTTTGGGGAAATACCCCTTTTTTGTTTTTGTTTTTTTGTTTTGTATATAACTGAATGTCCAGCTAATTTATTTGCAAACCCAAGGGCAGTTTTTTTAAAATCTTTTTTATTCTCGTGGTTTCAATGCAGCCTTTTTGTAAGGCGAGTTTGTAAAATAGCCCTTCCTTCCTGATTGTGTCTTTTGTTTGCTTCTATCCTATGCCCAGTAAAAAAAATCATAATTCAATATCTTTCGTTTGCATTTCCAAACAGAAAGTAAAGGAGCAGCAGCTTTGTTCAGGAAGGAAAGTCATTCATTTTGAAAGGCTTCGGTATCAAATAGAGCAGTGTTCCTCAACACTGCTCAACAGTGTTCCAGAACCCCTGGGAGGGTTTCAGGGGGGGTTACCAAAGACCATCGGAAAACAAATATTTCTGATGGTCTTAGGAACCCATTTGGCAGAGAAGGCTGAAGATCTTTTCACATATCCTTCTCTTCCTTTTTGGAAACAGACAAATCCTCCACCAAAAACCCTCCTCCTGCTGTGATTGGCCAGCCTCTCAACTGGCCTCTCAGCCAAGGGGAGGATTGTTTCTGAAACTCCAAGTGAGGAGGGGAGAGCAAGTGTGCTCTCTCCTAAATCATTTTCAATTCTCCCAAATCCCTCCAATATTTTCTGTTGGTCCTGGAGGTTCTGTGTGGGAAGTTTGGCCCAATTCTACTGTTAGTGGGGTTCAAGGGGCTCTTTGACTGTAGGTGAACTATAAATCCCAGCAACTACAACTCCCAAATGTCAAGGTCTATTTTCCCCAAACTTCACAAGTGTTCACATTTGGGCATATTCAGTATCCCTGACAAGTTTGGTCCAGATCCATCATTGTTTGAGTCCACAGTGCTCTCTGGATGTAAGTGAACTACAACTCCAAAACTCAGGGTCAGTACCCACCAAACCCTTCCAGTATTTTCTGTTGGTCATGGGAGTTTGGTGCCAAGTTTGGTTCAATTCCATCATTGGAGTTTAGAATGCTTTCTGATTGTAGATGAACTATAAATCTCAGCAACTACTACTCCCAAATGACAAAATCAACACCCCCACCCCCCAACCACACCAGTATTCAAATGTGGTTATATTGGGTATTTGTGCCAAATTTCCAGTGAATGAAAATTCATCCTTCATATCAGATATTTACATTGTGATTCATTACATTACGGTAGCAAAATTGCCGGTGTGAAGTAGCAACAAAAATAATTTTATAGTTGGGGGTCACCACAACATAAGGAAATGTATTAATGGGTTGTGACATTAGGAAGACTGAGAACCACTGAAATAGAGGAACACGCAGACTGAAAGAAGTGACTTCTCTGCTCTTGGCGTTCCCCTGCTGAGTGTTTTCTCTTCCAAAAATGAGCAATGGAGTGGAAGAAACCCGCTTGGCCCCCTCCATGCTTGGGATGCCTGACATTCCCAGGGTTGTGGCTGGTGAGCAGTCCCCTTGCCGCCTGTCATGCGCCTTCCTTGAGGGTCATGTCAGATGAAGCACCAGCCTGGTGCTTTTTTTATAACCCATAGGAATGCACCACAGAGACCTCCCTCTCGCTGCCAGGGAATCCGAAGCAAGGAGGATTAAAGCCACTGGATGGAATGGAAGAAGACCCTCCGGGCTCACGTGCAGATGGAGGCAGATCAGATAGAATAGGATGGATTAGATAGATAGATAGATAGATAGATAGATAGATAGATAGATAGATAGATAGATAAGAGGGAAGTAGACATGTAGATAGATAGGTCAGAAAGACAGACAGGGTAATAGATTAGACAGGGAGATAGATAGGACAGAAAGACAGACTAGGTAGGTAGGACAAAAAGACAGGGTAATTGATAAGACAGATAGGACAGAAAGACAGGATAGGTAGGTAGGTAGATAGGACAGAAAGACAGGGTAATAAGTAGGTCCCAGTCCTGTATCTTTCAACACTTCGTAGTGTGTAGTCAAGATGGAGAAAAGATAATCAATGGACAGATGGAGATAGATGGAAAGATATATTAGAGATAGATATGTAGATCGATAGGACAGACAGGGTAATAGATAGATAGATGGATAGATCGATCTTGGAGGAGGAGGAAAGCATAGAACCCCTCAGTTTGCTTCACAGAGCCCCAAAGGCTCTGCACACTTTGAGAACTGCTGGATAAGGCAGATAGATATATAAATTAGATAGATCTGGGTCCCGTATCTTCCAACACTTTGTAGAGTGATCAAGAAAAGTGGTAAAAATATCATGAAATGATAGATTAGAGAGATAGATACATAAATTAGATATGACAGAAAGACAGACATGATAGTAGATAGACAGACACAGGTCTTGTATCTTTCAACATTTTGTAGAGCAGTGATTCTCAACCTTCCTAATGCCACAGCACTACCTTCCTCCAGAGAAGAAGAGGCCTCTGGGAAGCGAAGGGGGTGGGGAAAAGTTAGCGGTGTCTTGGTTCCTAATACCATTGGAAATATGTGTTTTCCGATGGTCTTAGGTGACTTAACCTGTGACCCACAGGTTGAGAACCGCTGTTGTATAGTGTGATCAAGATGGCGAAAAGATAATTGATGGACACATAGAGATAGATGGAAGAGTAGAATGGTAGATGTGTAAATCAGATCGATGGGATTAAAAGCTGCTGAGAGGCCTAGAAACACCAACAGGTGACCATCACAGTCTCGACTCTGTTTCCCCCTTTCTGAAAACGGTCAAGGAAGTGTGTGTCACTCAAAACTGCCTGGAGTTGGAGGGAGGAGGAAGGCGAAGGCTGAAGGTGGCTAAAATTAGCCTGGAATGAAACTAAATCCAGCCTTGTACAACTTGTACAAGTTGACCAGTACTGAGAATATGTCAGCAGCAATAGTGGCTTGGATTCCATCCATTGAGCTTTCAATTTTTTAATGAATTTTGGAAAATGTGGTTTACTATGGAAACAAGGATTGGTGATAAAGCTTCAATGGAGACACCTTTTCCCATGATATTAACTCTTACAGGAATGAATTTCCTTTGCAAGGGGTAGATTTTTCTCACTTCCTGTTGTCTCAGCCCCATTCTTAACTAGGAATCAGGCCTGTAGCCCCCCTGAAATTTTTCAGGTTAAAAAAAACTGGTTTACTCATGAATTTTAACTGGTTAACCAAATCCCCATGCTAAGTCTATGAGACACAAAGAAGTCCCTCCAGAACTGCAAGCACTAGCTCAAGCAAATATTGACAATTTATTCACACTGTCATTACTTGTAGCAATAGCCGATGTAGTGAAGCAACCAAGTTGGGGGGGGGGGTGTTGAATACTCTCATTAAGGAGGCCAGACTTGGTGGAGGTGGTTGGCAGGGGCGGAGCTGCAGGCTATTGAAGGCTGCTCTGCCCCTGCTTTGCTCTTTGCTTCAGCGTGAGCTAGGAGGCAGGTTTCAAACCCCACCCCACCCCCGTGAAATGTTCAACCTTCCCCCCTCCAAAAAAAATTTTCAACCCCTCCCGAAATTTTTTTCTGGCTACGGCCCTGCTAGGAATCGTTTGAAAGTCGGATGTTTGTAACTTGGGGGACTGCGTGTACTCCAATACCTGAAATAAGAGAGTGGCCCCTTGGCTTTCAAGGGGCCACTCACACAATTTCACACACACAATTACGACAAAGGTATATAAAGGCAATTTCATCAGGCATTGTCTATGGAACATGAATGGATTTCGTGCCTCGACTTGGCTTTCGTTCTCTGTGATCCTTCAAGATGGAAATGGAAATATTCCAACATCGGGATGGAGAGAATAAAAAAGACACACCTTTGGTCTCTTATTTTGAATAAGGGACACATAACCTGTATCACTGATTAATAATAGTAATAACAATAAGGAAGGTCGAGACAGGTTGGGATGGATAGATGGATGGACCGACAGACAGACAGGTATCTGGATAGATGAACAAACATCTGGACAATTATGGATGGATGGATAGATGGACAGATATCTGGATAGATGGATAGATATCTGGATGGGTGGATAGACAATTATGGATAGATGGACACACAGATGAATGGATGGATGGAGACAGATCTGGATGGGTGAGTGGATAGACAGATATCTGGATGGTAGATAGATATCTGGATGGGTGGACAGATAGATGGATAGATATCTGGATGGATGTGCAGATGGATAGTTGGATAGATATCTGGAGGGGTGGATAGATAGATAGATAGATAGATAGATAGATAGATAGATAGATAGATAGACAGACAGACAGACAGACATAAAGATAGATGATAGGAAGGAGAAAAAGGAACACATAACCACATACAGGTCGGGGTTGCAAAATACGATGATGATGATGATGATGATGTTTATTTCCTGTGTCTCCCTATGCCTCAAGGTAGGTACAATATGGTTAAGTCGGACCAATACAATCTGGTTAAAATGCATCTATCCAAATATAAGGCCTTGTTCTATGAAGTTAAACCACAAAAGCCATGGTCAGTTTGAAATATATATACATACACACACAGAGGGATGCGGCTAACAAAATATATAACTATGCTAAAGGTGAGGAGGTTTGAGGGTAAAAAAAAAAAGCATTTTCCAGACTCAGCATTCTCTCTCCTCTCCCTTCCTCCAGACAGATGGGGTTCAAAATCCATTAATAGGGCGAAATCCAAGCCCTATTAATGGCTGGAAGCTGACCTATCTCTCGGACTTCTTCCCAACTTTGGGCAAAAGCTGGCAAGGGATCAAAAGATTTCTGGTTTGGGCCGGAGAGCAAGCCGAGGCTGCATCTGTGACTCATTGGGAAGCATTCAGGGCTCCATAGTCACCTACGGACCCACCCTGGAGGATTCTCCTACTCGGACAAGGAGGGGTCGCCTAAGTAAGTATTCAGGGCCCTTCTATGCTGACATATCACTCAGAATATCATGGCAGAAAATCCCACAATATCCACTTTGAATGCGGATATCTGAGGCCACATTTCCCTACATTATAGTTCAGAGCAGATAATGTGGGATTTTATTCAGCTGTGTGGAAGGGGCCTCAGACTCAGGTGACCTCAGATGATCCAGATTCATCAGCCTTGGAGTGTGTTCCAATGCGTTGCCTAGTGCAAATGCTTGCCAGGCACAGGCCCCTCCTTACTCACAGTACTCATCCAAATCTGTCCTCAATAGTTGAGCAGGGGTTCAAGCCCTGGCCTTAAACGCCTGAATTTATCGACGGATTAACCA